AACTTCCCATTGATAAATGCAACTCTCGCGCAGTCTCCATCGGGAAAATACCGCCACAGTACGATTTGTTTTTCATAATACATTTCTTGTTCTAGCCAAAACTCGTTATATTTGAAACATGTTTTAGTTGTAAGCGAAATCTATACTAATTTTAGAAGTTGAAAAGCTTGTTTGTTCGTTTGGACGCGCTAATATCAGGAACAACTACTTAGTTCGAATTAGGTTAGGTAGGGTTTAATCTACAAAACGATCGATTTCGACCAATAGGAGCGAAGTAACTGATGGAAATGTAGAAAAAAAAACCGGTAAAAATAATTCATCTTTGTGCGCCTCCGATGCGTGCTCTGCGACTACAGTTCAAGATACTCATAAAATATATATAAAAGAATTATTCTTCTTTATATAATCTAAAAAAGTCCCGAACAGCATATGTCTATTTTTTAAGATTGATTCGCAAGAACGTCGAGAAGACATCGTGCGTAAAAGCTATAATTTATAAAGCTTGTTTGCAAAACTAAATAATGTAATGCCCAAAATAACTATACCGCGCGGACGAAGTCGCGGCCACAACTAGTGACTTTATGTTGCTACGCTTCGGTTTGCTGGGGATTTTCAAGCCTGCGTCTTAATAAAATGGAGGTGTGCGTTTCCCTTGAGGAAAAACATTTAATAAACTCTTTAAGATATAAAGCTGTGGATTACCTGTTTCCGGACAGTTATATCCTAGCCAGGAATGAAAGCATTTAAAAAGAGAATTTATCTCACTTTTATAAATTTACATTTCGTGTTTTTAACCGTTAAAAACACGGCGATTGAATTACCTTTTATATCCTAACTTCGAATTGAAGTAGTGATCGTGGTTGACTTTATCCTAGTGGTGTAATAAATATTAAAATGTCAAAAGGAAAAGTGACTTTAGTTGCGCTGAATCGTTATACTGATGTTTTGGATTTTACAGATGCTGTAAGTCTTTACTTTAGTATTATCAGTTATGTTTTAACTTAGTTCTTGCAACACGTAAAAAAAAGCAAAAAGCTATTAAAAAAAAAATTACAGAGATTAAAAAGTGTATGACACAGGCGGGACTCAAACCCATGCAGTTGATTTAAGCTCCGGCGCCGTTGACAGCAATGGCTAATGATCAACGGGTCGTGGATTCGATTCCCACCAGGTCCAACATGTTTGTAATTTTTCAAATCTGGATATAAAATGGGTGGTAGGCAGGAATAAAAATTCCGTCGAACCACCGTCCACAGATGAAAAAGCCGTGAAGCTTAATCGCGTTTCGGTTTCAATTTATGGATTTCCGAATATCCAAAGCCAAAATAGGTCGATAGCGCATCTTGTATATGCTGGGGTATATCACCTACCCTCTAGTGAACTCCGTGCATGGTTTTTCCCTCTTTATCAAAAAAGACATTTCTCGATTTTATATAATTGTAACGATATAAGGTCTAATGCGAGTTGGAATTATAATATAGAGAAAAACCTTATTATTACTGGCGCTTAAGTATTATCTGTAGTTTACGCGAGTAGAACACAATTAAATAGAACACTTTAACGGTTTAAAATACGAAGTATATCAGTTACACTATTTACAATTTATTTAGTTAAATATTTTGCGTTTTACCCGGTTACAGTGTTTTTATTTTAAGTCCTGTTTTAATCTACTTCTAAGTTGTATATGTAAATACACGTAAACCAGTTAAGAATATCGCTAATCGTGCAAATATAATTATTTTTTACGATCGCTTCTAGATTCTTAGTTTTCTTCGTTTATTCTCGTTCTTCTAGTCAACTTATCGGATATCGTCAATTTTAATCTAAAATAAAATATTTGGCCCTGATGTCTATCTTTGTATGTAGAAAGGTATTTTTTGTTAAATAACAAACAGTATCTTTATTAGCTGAGCGATATAAATTATCTAATAAACAGTACTTGAAGTGGTGTAAACTTTATTGTACTGTTAAGATATTAAACTACATAGTATATAATATGTATATAAACTTTGATTTTATCATCACGAAGAATAATTAGCGCCCTTAATGAACAACCCGTCTCCCGTCCCATGTGGGACATGGGGCGAAAACATTACTATGGCAATTACATTGATCAATTTTTTGTGTGTGATACCATCTGTCGTTTCTCAAAATTTCAAACACATCATGTAGTAGGAATTTATGGTCATGGGTATCAAACAGTCGTGTATTAAATTGGCATCTGGTTGTTAAAAGCAAGTCATACTTTTTTCCGAAATATGTTAAACTTCGTCTGGAATTGGACTCTTAAATTGGTGTTAGAAATATTATAATTTTGTGACTCCATATTTACAAGCTTTTTTTAAAAGATTATACTTTGTATTATGCTATTTAAGCCGTGTAATAATCAAAGGTTAGTTTTATGAAACTCTAAAAAAATCCGTCTAAGAACAACCGTGTTTACCAATTTAATACACTGACCTTATCATAAGGCAATTTGAAAAACCTGCCAGAAATTACTTTTGTAAATTGGTGTCATTTCCGAAACCAGTCGCTAACCAAAAAACCTTTTTTTGCAGTGAATACGGGTTTTAACTACGTTCATTAAAATTTTCGAAGAAAGATGCTTATATTGATAAGATTTTTTACATCAAAAACTTGTAAGAAACATGCTATTGGAAGGGAATGTTAATGAATTTTGCTAGTCTTATGATTGGAAAATTTTGGTTTTACCTAAATACGTTTTGACCTTTTTAGATTTCTTTTTTTATTAAGATTTCCGGATCTCCCCTTTCACTTGGAAAGAGATCTTTATATTACTTTTAGTTGTTTTGTTTCTAATTACTGTTAAACGAGTATTATGTTATGTTTATCACTATTTGTATGCGTACATTTCTTATGTTCTGTCACTTCTGTCGTTTCGTCTTACCACTGGCTTGGCATTTACATATAGATGTATAGTATGTTAAAAATTGAGATTTTTGCGTTACTAATCATTATATTATAATTTTCTTTACGTGCCTCGAATTCCGCATAATTTTCCAAGTTCCACCTAGCCGTCATGCCCATAGGACATTCCGATAGAATGTGTTCCACTGTTTCCGTATGCTCGTCGTCGCAAGGGCAGGTCGGGCTCTCCTTACATTTAAACCTATGTAAGTAGGCCGAGAACCCGCCAAGCCCCGTAAGTACTTGGGTTAATATTTTAGTCGGTCTTATCTCTTTAATTATTTTAAAGGCTAATGAGGGGCAAGGAAAAAGGTCTTTGTTACTGTAGCTGTTTCGGACTTGCTAAACCTTTCGCGCCACTCAGTAATCGTTTTCGTCCTTATTCATTTCTTAGCGTAAGAGATTGGACAGTGTTTATAGTTCAGTTAGGTAAAAATCTGCTTGTTTATTGTTTAAGGTTGTGAGCAAACTGTCCGCAGATGAAAAGCCGTGATATTTATCGTGTTGCTGTTCCAGTCTTTGAATTTCCGATCATCTTAAACAAAAATAAGTTGACAGCGAATTTTATTGAGATATTATATGCACGGGTTTTTTTTATTTAACTAAAATGTCCTGTGGCCGAAATAATTTACTTAAATTTCCCGGGGAACTGATATCAGGATCAATACAATGTTACCCAACTATGACCGCGTTTTAAAAGCATTATTTACTTTATTTTGTAATGGGAATTACCGTATCGTTACAAAGTTCCGGCAAAAGTCTCTAAACCCAATGTCGTCGAAGCCGTCGGTCAAGAGAAACCGCGAACACTTAACAATAAAAGGTTTCATAAATTAAGAAATAAGTAAAATCCCAAATGGACGAACTTATGTCATAAACGCCATTGATACATAAATTACACACAACTACTTGAAACGTCCGTTTATTGTCCAAATATTTGAAATAATATTAAAACTATATTGACATCTGTAGGTACTAGAGAAAATAAATTGTTGATGCCCAAAATAACTATTCTACGTGGACGAAATCGCTGGCACAGCTAATAGAATATAAAATATTTTTATCCGGTATTAGTAAAGCATCAATTAAAGGTTAATTAGGTAATATATCAGCACCTTCCTGTGTGGAACAGAAATTTTACAATTATGGACAATAAATGGCAAAACACATCTACTACAAAAACTAAACAGTTCATTTAGATTTAGTAATAAATTTGGTGTGAAGGGGAATATTTAAAAATGCTAAACTTATAAATAGTCGTGGGAATTTTATAAATGATGATATACTAGCTGGTACCCGCGACTTCGTCTACTACGTAACCCTAATCCTAATCCTGCGGAGCGAGTACGCGCATTTAAACTAAATTTTGTCTATCATATCATACATTACATACTTATGTGTAACTAACGTTTATGGCAGCGCACGCCAGAAGAGCTCGCAGAAAGGTAGGTTTTTTCCTAGTTAGATGTTATCTATTATATATGTTAGATATTAACTCCTCGACTGCTCGATTCTTCGAGCAATCGAGGAGTTAAGATCTCCTGATGATGCCGTCCACACGTGATGGCGAAACGTCGAGAACCTCTTCTCCCTCATGTCGGCCGCACTGAACGATGGCCGTGAAAGCCTTACACAACTTATTAAGCATTGGGTTTATTTGATAGAAATACATAAGCCTTTATCTAAAAGATTTTTTTTTGGACATAAGGATAGATAATGATTTATTAGTACAATTACAGTTTGAGCTTGTGACAGTACTCTAAGTATTAAAAGTAATCGACATTTTATTAAGATATCACTATCTTGACTTGTAGGCATTTCATCTCCAAAAGATCTATATTATCAAATCGATAATCGACACATGCCTTATCTTATACGGTTTCCATAAAACTATGAGATAAAACGCGTGTCTAGGAAATGTACTGAACTTATTGACCTTTACGTAAGGATAAACATAATACATATATATAACAAATAACGATTAGCAAGTAAACATTTTCTACAAAATGGAGACAATTATCTCTAAAAAAATAATAATTATATATATACAAAAATCGAAGCGAAACTCTGCTATGTTAGATATAAAGGAGTAAGTAATAACTAATAGATATGGTATACCTATTAAACGCGTAATTGCTTCGTTAACATATTTTTAGGTGTCAGAGGTGGAGTTAGGTCGTTAGGTGGAGACAATTAATATAATTTAATACAATTACTAGAACTACATTAACTTAATAACTATATTTAGAAAAAATATATATAAATTTTTACTAAACTCCTCTGTGCGATCTGTTAATGGTAAATATGTTCGTAAACGATTTCTTTGTATATGCAAATTTTGTTCATACTTATTTCCGTGAAAAGGAGACTTCTTTCAACGGCTGTAATTCAATATGCGCATGCGTCACACGATGTCACAGTATACACGTAGCTCGTAGATTCCTTCAGTATCTCGTGTAGCTTGCTTCTAACAAACTACGTTCAGTGTAGATGCGCTAATCGGGAAAATAGGCCGGCCCCACTGGCCACTCCATGGAACGCGTAAAAAATATTCGAAATTTATCTGCCACAGATTAGTTCGATTGTTTTTACGCGGGATTTTGTGATTTTGCCGCCTTTTACGAATTTTTAATCTGTCCACAGTTTATATATCTCGGTGAGTTTTTTTTCTTTTTTGTAAAAAAAAATATATAATTGTAATTCTTCTTCGAACTCCTTACTAAGTTCCTACAATGTTTTTTCTTGAATATCATAATTAAAGAAGATAATGAATAATTTGTTACGCTGCATTTTAGTGTAGTTTCTAATTTATATACAAATAACAAGTAAAGAGAATTTTCACAATAAGTTATGCGAGTCTGAGAATATACATTGTCTTAACTAATAAGGTTTTCCACCACATAACAATCTATAATTTATGCAGCCTATTTCCTACTGCATGTGAGTAATGTTGATACTTCGTACTAAGGTTTCCTCTCAGAATGCAAAATAAATTATTTAATATGCTCAACATATTTTTCATGATATTTAATAAAACTGAAATAATTGTGTATTTAATATTTAAACATGTCACAGGTGTTTTCAACAATGAATATTAGGCACTACTTAAGTTCAATGTGTGCAAATTATTTTGTATTAACCACCTAAAAATGATTTATATAACCTTGTACATTGAAAAGTAAGGATATTTTAACGCGATAAACAATAATACTTTATCGATTACTACGCTTTTGATACTGGTAATATCTGTTATAATTACTGATATCTCGCCAAAAATATGATAAACTTTAATCTTTTGTTTACCAGATGCATATAGTGGTTTAGCTACACCCCCATATTAGAATAACACTGCAACTCTTGTTATTGAGTTATCCAATCCAGTTTTCAGCGTCCCAAAGTTGGGACACCGTCGGTCATGTTGTTCATGACTTAAAAAGGCAGACATGGTTAAATTCCATTTTCAGACCAACTATTTTAAAAATAATTTAAAAATCGAAAATAAATTTTAAAAATCTAAATTATCAGCGACTTTTTAGCGACGGAATTATCAGCGACCGTTAAGCTAAGCTAAGTGTTAAGGTAGAAATTACAAGTGGGGACTTCTATCCCTCAATTTGTACCCATGTGCAATCAAATGGTGACCAAACGATATCTTTCAGGCATATTAATGTACACATTTTGAAACTTTAAAGTCTCAATAGAATTGCTTGTACGAAATTAATATTAAAATTGAAATTACATAAAAAAACATTTCTTTCATCATACAAAATTATGACTATATTATCCAATTGTGTTATAATAATACTATCCATTAATGGTCGTTTTATAACATTACTGATATTAAACAAGATACGGGCGAGTGCAGGCTGTAATAGAACCCCATTTTTATAGGCGCTTTAAAATTTATGGCGCGATATTTATATTATTATATTTTATAAAGATATATTTTGTTGTGGAATCATATTTCCACGATCAATTGTATTTACAGACAAGATGGCAACGAAACTTATCGATCTAAGTTTTTGTTATATTTTTTCAATTTTTCATATAAATGTGAATCTAACGTTTTCAACTGAACTACAGACACGTGTGTAGGTTTCTATTGTCTATGTAAAGAGCGGCAATTCTTTCGTGGCAATTAATGTATCTGAGTTTTTACAGGCATATTAGATATCAAGGATTTTGTATCAAAGAAAGAAATTACATAAGCTACATGTTACGTATTATAAAAGTGTCACCCATATAAAAAAGGTTAAAAATATTCTCATTTCTATTGTTACTTGACGATACCAACTGATTGTTTTTCTAAGAATCAAATGATTGACTGCTCAAAGTACACAAGGCCTAGATACAATAGGATTTAGTCACACTTATCGAATACTGTACTTATCTGAGAAAACAGATCGACAGCGCGTCTTGTTGAGGTGTTAAATGATTGGAGTATTTCCTTTCTACCATAAAAAAACAACGAAAAACACATTCTTTAGAATTTTAATTTGATTAACCCGCATTGAATAAGATAATTTCTAATCAAAGATTTTGTATCAGTTCAATGTTTAAACTTATCAAATATAATAACTATTTTTGTTAGGATAATTATAATTACAATTGATAATAATATCTACAAGTACCAAAAGAATTTAATCAGGAGATTGTATCTCATTTAAAAAAAATATTTAACGACGTTATACTTACATATAGCTATCTAGGCTAGTAAGATAAATCCTGTATTCGAATCTTCGCCTGATGGTAGTTTAAGAAGGGGAATTTCCTATTTGCTCTGAATTTATTTCTTTATATTAGATGAAGACAGACGAGCATGCATTTCACTTGATGGAAGGTGAAATACACCAGCCACATAACACCTTGACAAGATGCGTTGTCGGCGTATTTTGGCTTTGGATATTCGGAAAACCACAAACCGACACGCGATTAAACATTTACGGCTGTTTTATAAACGGTTCGAGATTCGAGGCCTGACGAAATTTATAATATTAGTGAAATTACAAATATATTTCAGAAATTATAAAGTGATTAGAACCATGTCGGAAACATAAGTGGGGATCCAACTCATGACCCGTTAACTATTAACATAGATACCATTAGATCAATGAGCACATCAAATAAAAAGAAAGCGCAAAGGACACAACACATCTCCTCTGAATTTTGCTCGGGCACGAAAACTTATAAAGAATATTTTTTGCGTTAATGCATTGTAGAAGTTGCAATATAGCAAAAGCCAATGGCTTTATAATCTTTCTGAACGCCGTCCGCATTCCACATGACGTGATGTAAATATTTCAATGTAAACTTTACTCATATTAAAATATTTACGCGTACACTTTGATTTGAAATTCTTATCTACGTGGAACGCTGCTTTAGGCTTTGGTTATCGATTAAAACATTATACGGGCAGGACTCGAACCTGTTTGCAACCTGGGCTCACCCATCAACATCAAATTTTTTCAATGACTTTGTTCATGCATCTCTCCCGCAATGATATATGAGTATATATAAGTTAAATTTAATAAAATATTCGATAAAACACTGTCTATAGTTTACGCGAGTAGTACACATTTAAATAAAACACTTTAACGGTTTAAAACGCGATATATTAGTTAAACTTATTTGAAAATGATTTTTAACTTCGGCCCGACGTTTCGGATGCTTTGCAGCAGCCGTGGTCACGGGGAGACCTCCCGGAGGTTCATTTTCAAATAAGTTTATAAACTAATATATCGCGTTTTAAACCGTTAAAGAGTTTTATTTAAATATTCGATTTATAATAATTATGAAAAGTGAAAAGCCGTTTTCTCTTTTCATAATATAGATAGTTATTTTATAAGCAAGTAGTTGGTTAGACTTGTGCCCAGCTCGACCTAAAAATCGTTTCTCCGAGATTCGAACTCAGGACCTCTCACAACGCATTTCACCATCAAGATATGGAGATGGTCAATAGCCAACGCAAGAAATATAATTGTATTATCATTTCGGGTTATAGCAAGTTTACTGTAGAAGGGTAACGATACAAATTGCGTTGCGATAAACATAATTAAAAGATTAAGAGTATTAACGTATAACTGCGATGCCACAGCGTAACAATTACATCTACAAGATTAAACTAGTGTTTCGTCGTGAATTTTCCTTGAATTTTTCATTTTTTTTCCTTAGGATGGCGGAATCGCCTGTCGGCTTCAGTTAATAACCGGAAACTGAACGAAGGAGATAATATCTAGTGATTATATTCATTTCTTGTACCAACCCAGCTTCAAGTTGGGTGTGTGTTTTATTAGACTTGATATGAACAACTTTGTAACTGGTGAAGTTGACGTATTATATAAAATCAAAGAATAATAGATTGTATAACAATTTCACACCCCTATAAAGATACTTGGGTTTTCGAACTGTTCTGAAACGTATAGAATAATATTAGGTCACATTAAAATGCATTTGTCTCAATTTTAAAATCAAAACGAACTTAAATTCGAAACTGAATCCAAGTAGAAGTTTTAAAATTATTAGTATACCTATTACACAATACAAAATATCTTGTATTGCTGAAAAGGACAAAGAAGATATCAAAAAAGATAACCCGCTCATCGTTTTCAACTATTTGAAGAGGGCAAACACATGACATAATACAAATAAAAATATAATCTTTAATCAGTTATAACTTGTAGATAAGAATGATAACATAAAACAAGGATAAGTTGGCAAGAAAAAGTTTAACAAAATTAAAATCGCTTTCTATTTAAATTATAAACGCCGTAAAAACTAATTGAGCTACCGTCCTACACTTCTCTTTCTGTCTGCTTATGATTCTGAAAGTAAAACCAACAACACAAAATCTATAATACGAAATCGGAAGACCCATTCTGCAATACTAGAACTAAAAATTGATTATTAATTAATAAAATATACGACACGGGCAGGACGTAACCACGTACAAAGTGCAAAGCATCCGAAACGTCGGGCCGAAGTTAAAAATAATTTTCAAATAAGTTTAACTAATATATCGAGTTTTAAACCGTTGATGTGTTTTATCTTAATCGTCAAATTTTCTCAAACTATTGATACACTCACCTCTCGCGCAAAGTTAGTGTATAGTGTTAGATGTCCGTTCAAGTATTTACCGTGTCATAATTTTTTTTTCAATTTATAATCGATTTTTAATTTATATAGTGCCATCATGTGCACTGTGCACATGCGAAAAATATTATAGATTTAATACTAGAACCGTTTACTTGTTTTGTCTATCGCCTTAAGGAGTATTTACGTGCGAACTAAGTTCGACCGTACTTAATTTTTTATGTCATCATAGGTATATCATCTGTACTGAGTCACAATGCATCTGGAGACACTTAATATTATCTTCATCGATACGCTATCAATTCGAGATTGCTCTCATTTTTGACAAACGCACTTGAAATATTCACAAAGGGTTACTTACTAGAAGTGGTTGTGCAATGTTCGGTTCGAGATGCAATACGGGCTTGGGTTTCGCCCTGTTCCCTGTTGCACCAGCTCTGGCAACGGGAATGATAACTGCCAATTTATTTAGCGGTGTTGCCACAAGCATGGCCTCAACACCCGCTATGCCGATGCGAGTCAATTTGGTAATATTACTTGAATCATTTAAATTACTTATTTATGATGTTCCACTATTTAATTACAGGATTTAAAATTATAGGAATAAGCTTCGTATGTAGTTTACGCGAGTAGTACACATTTAACTAAAAATTTTAACGGTTTAAAACGCGATTTACATTAGTTCAACCTATTTGAAAATTATTATCCAAGCTTTTTGCAGCGGCCGAAACGTCGGAACCTCGTCGGAGCAGGGGACGTTAATTCTCTAATAAAGTTAACTTTTAAGTTTAGTACTAAACTATGTAAAGAATAATTAATGCATTGTAGAGCATTTATTGACAAAATCTATGTTTATGAAACCCTTTTACGCTCAAGGACAGTTGTACTTAACATATTTCGACCACCACATATCTTCACTTATTTATGCTTTAACCTATCTTTCTCTTAAGCGATATGATAAAGAAATTAATCTAATCTAAGATCTATTTGGCTTTGTAAGTAAAATAATAAACTCAAACGTGACGACGAGATAAAACTAAGTAATCTCATTTCTATTCACAGCACGTGTTATATTGATCATTGTATCCTTATACAATGTTCTATTATACCTATACGATAGTTGATAATATAGCTAATACTTTTAAAGAATATTTAATGCTCTACGAAATAGGAACTATATATCAATTAAACATAGAAACTTTGAAAAATTCATTATTTTTCACAAGGTATTGAACAACTACATATAACATATCTATTTATATTTAAAAAAAATCCCGCCTGTGTTGTTTTTTTTTTCAACTTTAATAGATTTTTCAATGCATAAGGCACTTGTTTGAATTATCGTTTGGACGTTGTGATTGACTTAATTAGGTACTTGATACAAAATATCATCGCTAATTTGAAATTACATTGCGCAAAAGCATTATTAATTGGGTTGACACACAGTTACGTCTGTCGAGGGTTTCAGTTCTGCCAAAGTTATCGAATTTTTCGAATCACCTTTTTCAAATGCTAACTTTCATGTTCCACATAACAACTCAAAAATTTCAAACCCCTTAATAACAATATTATGTAAACAAATGATAATCACAGAAATAATTAAGAAACAGATTAATGAGATTAAAAATTGTATAAGCGTAAAAATATCGTTAAAATGTCACTAAGCAAACACATTATGGAAAAAAACTATAAAAAATCGTCTAATATGTTTCCCGTTTAAATTACACAAACAATACAGAGATATAATGGCTGGTGTTATCTTGTCACAAAATTATTTACGCCTCGCATAGCATTTACGTTTTTGTATCGTGTATTAGAAAAATACGTGTGAATTTTTCGTATTACTCACAAACCAAGCAACTGTCTGTCACGCCAATTTGAAAAAGAAGAATGTCAAGAAACATTCTATAAGTATTTATTTACGAGTCGATTGTAGTGTAATTTTTAAACTTTATATTTCCTACTGTTTCATCAGCCTTATAAATTAAACTAAGTTATGCTGTATTCGAGTTGTCTGTATTATAATACAGTTTTCGTACTGCAAAATTCGTTAATGAAGAATGTTTGCAAAACTGTTTCTCAAACATTTCTTATATTTACCAAACATGCGTACTCTCTGTTTAAAAATACACTGTTCAATTGAAGACAAAAATTACAAACAAAGGGAGTTCCTCTGCTAAGTTGCAAAGCAAAGTTTATCCGTCTTAATCCCTCCTGCTATAGAGGTATGAATTAGTTTCCAAAATGTATATTGGTCAAAACTTGTATGGTATAGTGTATAGTAAAAGTGTAACTAACATATAGATAGCGTTTTTCTGTGACATTAAGACTTGTAAGGAAAATATTTGTTTAGTTTGATCAAAATCGTTTTAATCTGTTTTAAAGAGAAAAAGACAAACAGTTTAAACTGGTACAATACATAAGTTTTTTAAACATGCATTTTTGTATAAGTCCCTTCAAAATCTCTTTATATGAAAAACCTCTCACAAACTGCATCATCGTACTTACTAGCGAGTCGAACAAGTTTAATAAAATAATAATAAGGTTCTAAGTTCTGTATGGTTGGTTTTTTATAATCGACTGGAGCGAACAGTCTAAGTTAACAATTACAAAACCGTAATTACTTAAGATTTTTTAATTTTTAACTTCCTCGTGGTAAGGACCACGTTAGTCTTATATACCTATCTGAGGCTGCATCCGAATACACTGACGTCTCACTAGTGAGTACTAAGCATTACAAATGGTCAAAGTCAAGGTTAGGAAAAATCACAGCATGTTCAAGTACGGTCAAGCGCACAGATGCAAAATACAACAATTATTATCATTCAAGGCTCGTTCAATTGATGCAACGCAAATACGTGCTCCATATCGATATTGTATAATACGTATTTAAAAACCATAACTAACACGTTAAATGGACAAAATGAACCGTATACAATATATAATGTTTGTAGCATATAGCAATTCATTGTTATGTAAGGAGAATTCTTATTATTATCCTCTTGCTAATAAAGTTTGAAAGGCGTAAATATTAGGTATTACTCCAAGAAAATCCAATATTATTTAATGTAGGCACTAGGTTGAAGGTAAGGTTGAGATTATGATTAATTTGTTTTTGTTTGAGTTTTTAACCTTTAAACAAAACAAAAGTCTATATATGATTCTAAAACTAAATGATACAAGATTTTCTAAACTAGATTAGTTTTTACAATAACATAGGTTCTACAATGCCTAATTAATGTCGGACAAAGCGATGAGTTCAAGCTGATATAATAACGGATAAAGAGTAAATTTTCTTTAGGTATTTAGTATTTTGAATAAACCGCAATCCAATCAAAATAGAACCAGTTTCGCAATGTGACTGTCAAATGTCATCTAAAACTCGTCAGTTCTTCGAATGACAGTTGACGCAAGCAGCTGTTATCAAATGTTAGTGAGTTTCGCGTTAGGTTCGGTATGCCTATACCGTACAATGCAAAAACACAACAATGAACTTTCGTGGTGTTTTTTCAAACACCTTTCACCCGTTCGCTAGTTAAGTCGTGTCAACTCTGATGCGTAGTAAAAGTTTTTAAAATGTGGTCAAATTCAAATCATCACCAAGATGATGCTTCGGAAACCGAACCTTTGCTCGCAGCTTTACCTGGGCCTAGTTACGATGCGGTAATGTTGTGTTAAACAATTTAATTGCTTGCCTACCTTGCAAAGACGAAGCTATAACTTTTTGTCTTACTAATTAAAACTTCAATAATAGATAATAAAGACATATTTCCCTTACGTATCACCATGCTTTACTAATTAAAACTAAGATGCTAGTAAAATGATAATAAAGGCGAATGAGTATGATAGTAAAGGTATTTTGTTATTTTCTCTATTGTTAAAATATTAATTGATTCATTCTTATCAAAAAATCAATTGCGTTAGCTCCTATAAAGCATCTAATCTTTTGATCAATGTTCTGATAGAAAAACAAAAGGCAATTAAAGTTAGACTGCTAATATTTGTTCGGTTTTTATATTTTGGTAGTATAGTAACAATACAAAACTGTTCTACAAGATTTTAAAGGGAGTTTCATGTACCCAGCCTTTGTAAGTGCACTATTATTATTTACTAATTAGTCAATTTGTTGATTTTCAGCAAGCAGAGGGCAACAACGGTAGAATGGCTGAGGTCGGAGTATCCCAGGCCGTATTGGTCGAACCAAGAGGTGATACTGGGCGCAAACTGCCTCAGTATATTGCTGCCTTGTCAGGTTGGTACATGACTTGAATTTTTAATGCAGTTTTTTGTCAAGCAAGTCAAAAGACAGATGGAAAGCTATTATACAACTTTTAGTCTGACAACTTCTAATAAAATCTGAATGAGAACCTTATGTATAGCTATTCTTAAAATCAAACTTAATTTCATTTATAACTTAGACATTCAAGAAACATGATTAATTCAATAATAAGTAAATAACACATTCCTAAATACATCTGGCATGTGGAGGCAATACATTACATTTAATCAGAGTGATTCATATTAGTGCAATTTGTAGAGCCTCAATTTTTTTTTTTTTTCACCTAACTAGTTTCATTTTTATAAAGCAATGTATTTCAACCTATAAATGTAGTTTTTACATTTGTAGAATATTGCTTAAGCAAACGGTGAAGCCATTAAAATTTCTTGTCTATAATTATTAACCTTGACTGATTTAATGTGAAAAATTATGGATTTACAAAGCAATATTGTGTACTGATAGTATTTTGCATTATAACTCAGAAAACCTTCAATATTTTTAAAATTAAAAACGCACTATTATTTGTTAAAGTGTGTAAATGAAAACATGACTGAAATTAAGTTTCTGTGATGAAGAATACACATGGAAGGCCCATGCATATTATTGAGATAAGATTAGTGAATATTATTATTATATATAATGTATATGTTCAGTAGTAATTCATTATTAATTTATCTTTCCAGCTACCCTTGGAGCTTTGGCTGCGGGTTCCATGCTTGGCTGGTCATCACCAGTAGTATTGAAGATTACACAAGACAACAGCACAGATTACAACTTCTCAGTATCAGAGTCCCAGGGCGATTGGGTCTCATCTCTGATCAATTTGGGGGCGGCTGCTGTGTGTTTCCCCATCGGACTGATTATGGACATACTTGGAAGGAAGAAGACTATGTTATTCCTGACATTGCCATTCACACTTGGTTGGTTACTTATAACCTTCGCTTCTAATGTTGGCATGTTAATGGCTGGTAGATTTATAACAGGCATAGCTGGAGGAGCATTTTGTGTCACAGCACCGGCTTACACCAGTGAAATTGCCCAGGACTCGATTAGAGGTTCTTTAGGTAGTTATTTCCAACTGATGGTGACAGTCGGTATTCTGTTTGCGTATGCTGTGGGCAGTTACACTAGCGTGTTTGTCTTTAACATCCTCTGCACTCTGGTACCCATCGTGTTTGGCATCATATTCTTCTTTATGCCAGAGAGCCCCAACTTCTTAGTGGTGAAGGGTAGACATGAGGAAGCCAAGGAATCGTTGATACGGCTGCGAGGGAGAAACTACGACGTGGACGGTGAATTGAACCATCTGCAGGCGAAGGCCGAGGACGCAAAGAATAACCCAGTTTCTTTTCTTTCGGCGATAACAAAGAAAACGGCCCTAAAGGCTGTATTAATTTGCTACGCCCTGATGTTGTTCCAGCAACTCTCTGGTATCAACGCTGTGATCTTCAACACTTCAAAAATATTCACCAGTGCTGGGGCCGCTATTGAACCAGCCATTGCTACCATCATTATCGGAGTAATCCAAGTGGTGGCTACTTTAGTGTCAAGTCTTGTCGTTGATAAGTTGGGAAGGCGTATTCTCCTTCTCTTTTCTGCTCTAGTGATGTGCATCTGTTCCACAGCTCTTGGAGTTTACTTCTTCCTTCAAGATAAACACGGTGTCGATTCGTCTATAGTGGTAGCAATGTCCTGGCTCCCTCTACTGTCTCTGTCCTTATTCATAATCGCGTTTTCCCTTGGCTTCGGACCCATACCGTGGATGATGGCAGGCGAGTTATGCCTCATTGATATTAAGGCGTTTGTCAGCTCAACAGCTGGTACGTTGAATTGGCTGCTAAGTTTCACAGTGACCAGTACATTCAACTCTCTAAATAACTCTATAGGCTCAGGGCAGGTCTTCTGGATGTTCGCGGGCATCATGCTTCTGGGTTTCGTATTCATATTCTTCATCATCCCGGAAACGAAGGGCAAGAGCGTCGACGAAATACAGATTATGCTAGGTGCGGAACCGGAAACGACGCACACGGATAAGAAATAATCGATCATAGAGACTGATGTGTTTTTTTGTATTGTAGTAATCTGTGGTCTAGTTGTCTTTGGTAACGCGGATATGCTATTTTTTGTTGTCTACCAAAGATCACGTTTCGATTTGTTATTTTGTCGACGCGTTAGCTTTAAGTTGTTGCTCTGTGAAATATAGGTTTAAATATTTAATTTAATATAGCAGTTAGTGTGAACTAGGCAGCTAATCGACATAACATATAATTTGTGTATATTTGTTAATGGTTGAATGCTCGTACACTACAATTGAGCTCAAGTACTGCAATAAATGTTTGAATGCAACCGAAAAAATCTGTTTTAGGACTTTTTATTCATGCGAGTCCAAGATAATATAAATTAGAAGATTTAATATGAAATGTATACCAGATGACATCGTCTGCAAATATTTTTGTTTACGTCGATCAGGGTATGTCCATTATTTTGTAACTCACTGTAATCATAAATTGAAATCCAAAAAACTTGAATGTAAAGGTGAGCTTGTATGATTGATTTTATTTTTAACATTGCCATAATTATACTTAACTGAATATTTTGTATAGAGAATATTGCCATATTTATTAAAAGATTTTGTATAGACACAATATTGGCTGTTTTTTAGGATGAAGATATTAAATGAAAGGCTGGATATTTAACCCTTTTACAGCAATCATAACTACAAAAAATGTTAACAACTAATGGCATAAAATGTCCGTACTTTATAATAATTGAGGTTGTTTATAAGGATTAAAGATTTGGACTTAATGTCGATGGCAGTAAGTAAGAACTGTATTGTATATAGAATATTATGTACACTTGTTAAGTGAATGATGAATTATGTATTTATAAAGCTGATATTTCACGTGCAAAATTCGAACGATGCATTTAATAAAATTGTTTCATTAATAAAAGTTTTTAATTGTCTATTTTACTATTCATGTGATTGATTTTATTTATGTAGTAGAGAATATTTATAATTGTATTAAATTGTTAAGAACATAGAATAAATTAGATTAATAAGAACTAGAACCCACAACAGAGATGTAACATGACTGCTACATCTAAGTAAGAGACAATGTGCTAAGGTACTATAACTATTCAAAATTCAACACTTTTATACACCTCAAATACTGATTTGAATATTTTTTTAAATTGACCAACAGATGGCTACCTTCACGATAGTTATTACTAATCGCTAAAGTAGTTCACGGTTACTTATAATTGTTTTTTCTGTGCTAAGCATTGTTAACAAATTCGTACACAAAAGCAAGATCTTGTGACATTAATAACAATTTATTTAGGTCGAATCATTTTAGATACTAAATTGTATAAGCAAAAATTTGATACTAGGTCATATACGGTTTCAAAAGTTTACTATTCAGTTATAAAGCAGGGCTAAGGCTTTGTCATAGGTACTACAATTTTTTTTCTGTTACTGAATGTCTATTTTCATGTATTTTATCATTGTAAAGTAGTACCTATCAATACAATGTAATTATTCGCGACGATACCACAAGTATTATCGTGTATCTTTCCTCTTAAAATATTCCACTGCTTGTATACAAGGACGTAAATAAAACTATAGGTACGGAAAAAGTAAATAACCTCATAACTGTAGAACAATTTATTTGCTACAATAAACATGCTTCATTTGATTAATGGACAGAATACGAATCTGTGCAATCTCTTATACAATTATTATGGCATTATTATTAACACAATACAAAACACTATTTACATAGAATATAAAATATCAAAACGATATTTACGAGTAAAAACAAGACCCACCAACGATTATTTGGTGGTATAACATTTGGTAACCGATAAATTTCACCTAAATTAAATATTATTATGGTACATTTGAGTACTATTCAGCTGCGCCTATTTAAAGAAATCTAAATAACGGAGCCTATAACATATTGAGTGTCGAATTGCCACCTATTTTCGAATAAGCACTTCTGTACACATTGCAGCAGAACAATGAGTTCATGAACGCGTTCAAAGACGAAGAACTATGGGTTCTGTAAATCCCCGACGAGACTTCCTCGAAGCTAGCCTCGCCTATAAATTGTTGTAGATCACTCTTCGGGAAGCCTTCCTTATAATATTGCTTGATCGTATCGTACGCGTCCATGATAACGGAAATAAACAAACTGAGTACAACATATATGTACAGACTTATGAACGAGTACAAATATACTCTGCTGAACCACCACAGCATTGGAGATTTTCTTGACATTATTGAGAACGTAGCAAACATATCGTCACCGTTGATTAAGGAGAAGAGACATTCAGATGTCGTGGCTAAAGAACGGAACTTCATATGGTAAGGCCCCAGTATGAGCCAACCGCAGAACATAAAACCGGCATACAGTAATAGCGCGCAGCACGAGAATCTGAATATCTTCGGTGCAGCCTTTTTTAAAGTTAATATGACGACATTGTATGTTTTAAAGAAACCAAGGTATCTCAACACACCAAACCAAACGAGCAAGTTACCTGTGCCCAAGAACAATGAGCAAACATTCCATTGGTCGTTAGTAAACTGATTCCGTTCAATTTGCTCTTTAATAGCTGAGCCCATGATTATAAGTATATCATTGACAATAATCATTATATACCAAATATTGAGGAATTCCAAACGTCCGTCTAAACTAAGAGGCCTGTCATATGTTTTTAAAAAGAATTGATTTGTAAGCTCCTTCAAAAGTTGAGCTCTGTAAATAGCACGACTACACAAAATTAGTGATGCACTGCAGATCAAAATAACTAGGATATTGAGGATACTTCGAAGGATTTGGTCTATTTGGTTGTCCGTAATGTAGTCTTGATCACCTTGGCAGACGAGCTTATAGGGTTCAGCTTCTAAGGTGACTGACATTTGACCATCATGATCCTCATTGTCAAAGACTATAGCAACATCAAACCTATAGCAGTCAGGTGGAGTAATTGGACCGGCTGCTCGGAAATTTATAGTTTTTAAAGAAAACTTCAATTCAGCTCGAACAAGTGCTGCAAAGTTAATATCAAACTGAGCATCTTTCAAAAACTGCCTAGACATAAATTTACCTGCAGGGCTAGTAAAATTAGTACAGTTTTTGATAATTTCAGAATTGAACTCGTAACTTTCATTAAATCCATTGATGATACCTTTTTTATAATTATATTGACAGAAAATAGGATCCATCATGATATTATGTTCATTATCATATGAATATGGGCCAATGGCATTGGACAAATTTGCATAACCATTGTAGGCATAATCTAGGGTATTATAGAACTCGTCAAGTTTATACACAGCAAGTGGCCCTGCACCTGGGGGGTAGGCATTTATTTCGCGAGTTGAGTCCCATCCTAGCAGGAACAGGTGTGAAAAGCTGATGCGGTTATCCCAAGTGTAATTGACATGATTGTATCTGTTGTGGGCAAAGAGGCATAATTGGAGAGTTACCAAGACTATTTTGATCACTTGAACGACGAACTTGTAAGGGAATTTGCGCTTCGCTCTCCATTTCTCTATCGGATTCATAAAGAAAAACTGCAGTTTCCGCCTCATTTTTTCCTCAAGTTGGTGAATGTCAGTCGTCGACGCGGACCGTGAAGCAAAACCTTCATTGTTTTGACGAGTGTTTTGTGCATTTCTTGTAATTTTTATCTCTTCATCTGAAGTGCTCTCCTCTGGCGATGAAACAATTGTATCCATTGGCACAATCTACGATCAAAATCAATGTAAATATGCATTAAGGGCTACAATTCTTTGTTATACTTTACATCCTTGTTTGTGTAACACCTACCTTACCTTTTCGCTTTTACGCGCACTGAAATTATTATGTATCCTCGTTTTTGTTAATATTTTATTTGAACTTTTATTATTTCAATTTGATCATCACTAACATAAAATTATTTGATTTTATTTCATTGCATATATATTTACTTTTAATAATCCCCCTTTTCTTCATGCAGTCATGCACTATTTACGATCTGCAAGTTTTGTTTTTTGATTTTGACAGTTGACACTAAAGGCTTTGAATTAGCTACGATACGTCATTTCAGTTTTAATTTGACATTGACATTTACAAATGACACGAAATCAAGGCTGTTGTTGCCAAAAAAATAAAAATGTCTAATTTTACCTATCACAAAGGCAAAATCTTAAATCACAATATTTTTTCTTGATATTAAATAATACAAACTTTACAACTTTAATCATTTTATATGTTTAACTAATTTAAGGTGGTATTAGTAGTGACATTCATTCGAAAATGGCTTTAACGGCGGAGAAACTCATCAACGACGAAAGGTTACAATTACAAGATTTTTGTAATCTCGCTATTTTCGAGGGAAAGTTTGCAAACTGCAATAAGCGATCTATCTTTCAGGTTTTGTGGTGATAATCCTGTCCAGTTTCTGTTATATCTGCCATTTGGTTTGATTTTAATGGTATTGCGAATCATTTTGGCTTGTATACTGTGGATAGCTTCCTTCATTTTGCCAGACAAGTCTGCGTCCAGGCAATTTATTTCAACATTAGCATGTATTACATTCGGTAAGATGTTTCTTATATAATTATATTCGTTGTTATACTCAACTGTAGCATCCAACATTGCACTTGATAATTTCTTAAGGAAAATAAATATAAGGCATTAAGCAGGAAACTAATAATAGCATAATTAGTTTGTTTTTATAGTCATATAACTTTTTCTTCTATAGGTGAATTTTAAAATTATTCTGTTTTCAGGTGTTTACATCAAGGTAAAAGGCAAACGGGATCCAAAATGTAGTGTCCTCGTGGCAAACTATGTTTCTTGTTTAGATTCACTGGCTGCAAGTAGAGCACTTGGTAGTATAACAGTGAGTATACCATCACATATTTTGCTGGCTGTTGTTATATGGTATTTACAACTTTTAAATAAGACATTACATTTTAGTAAATAAGCATTAAAAAAATCACTTAAGTTTCACTTAAAATTCTTATGTAGAGAGATATAGATAAAAATATTTAAAATGTAGATAAAACAACACTTATACATTATTACTTTTTTCTTTGAGGTGAGAATACAAGGCAATATGTATATTACATATTACTACATATAGAGATTAGATAAAGCCAGGGTTTATATAATAAAAAATATCCAAATGTGTACTATATCTAGAAGTCTAAATTGATTTTTTTTATATCAAACCAGCACCCTTTGGCTTAGAAAATTGCTGCAGTTTTTCACAATTTCAGAATTGAATTGATAACTTTCATTGTGTTTGTTATATAAATGCTAACATTATGCAAATGTCCAAATTGAACAATTCTGCAAAAAAATTGCAAAACTATTATTGTTTTTCTTCAAAGTATAATTAGATTAAATTAAACGTCACAATAATATTCTTTTCATCCTTTAGATTTACATATTTTCTTTATATATTGAGGCACCTGAATAAGTAATTATTTATGACTCTGAACAGATTCTCATGACATAAAATCTAAATAATACAAGTCTTTAACTAACAGAGATATTAAACCATGCACACACACAATCACTCATAATACACGTGTAATCTAACTCTTTGAGTTCTTATGTTGTTTAGTATATAAGTTCTAACCAATAAAATGTCAAGTACATTATAGTGTACTTGTGGCCAGGGGGGCTGGTGACTTGCATCACAGGTTACTAAACATATAACACTCTCACAACATTTACAAAATTAAAATTTACAAAAAATTGTTTGGAAATCTCATAATTTGAGTGCTAAATAAATAAATAAATAATATTAATTATCTATTTCATGGTTATCTTCTTAAGGTCAGAAAATTAAGGATATTAAAGTTGTTACATATGCTACTATGGGGTGTACTTAACAGAATCACTTACATACAATGTTTCATTTAATATGAAATATCTATTGCCACATTATGAAAATTTGTAACTTTGTATATATTGTGTTTGTTGCAGCTAAGAAAATGGAAAGTGCCACCATTTTTTGCCTCAACACTTGGCATAAAGAACATTGCTCAATTTGTTAGAAAGTAAGTAAAGAAGTACTACTAATCAATTGTACCCTCGTCCAATCCTTGTAAAATTTCATACATTCATATGTTTTATGTGCATATGACAATAAGGAAGTTTCAAAGCCTTTGAATATGTCTGTGTCTTTACTTTAATTTTTACTGCCAGATCATATGAGGCCGAATGGCCTAACTGCAATTTTATGACTTGACTTATTTATATTTTTATAGTCTAAAAATGTTAATCTACAACAACACAGTGACCAAAAAGTTCACGCAATTCTTCTCACAAACAAATTCATTATCGCCTAAGTTAACTGCGCATTTTTATTATCCTCCTTTTTGGAAATCATGATTTTTGTTATTAGGCCACTCTGGCTCTAGCAGCCTCATTTTATTGTACATGTATTAGTAACTTTTCCCAAATAACTAAAGAAAACTTGTATCCACTAATATTGTACTCTCATTATAATTCAGGCAACATTTTGCTGAGAGTCCAGAGAAGCCAGTGCTGTTGCAGCCTGAAGGTGGACCCACTAATGGAAAAGGACTCTTAAAGTTCACCGATTGGTCTATTCCCCTGACAAACACTGTCCAGCCGATTGCTATCAGTGAGAATATTATTCCTTTTTTCTTTTATGTACCGCTTCTGTAGGAAAAGAAAAAAATTAAACATTTTGCCAAGCATTGGGTAGAGAATCCTGCGTTCGAATCCTGGGAAAACAATCAATTCTTTTGGTCGGCAGTGAAACGGACGCAGAAATATGTTTACCTCGTGCCCCAAGGGGGGGGAAAGGGGGGTTTTATTACTACTTATACTTACATATGACCGCCTCTTTAGTAAATGTTTTGCCTAGCATTGCGTTCAGCGCGAGAGGTCCTGGGTTCGAATCCCGGGAAACAATAAATTGTTTGGTCGGGCAGGGCACAGAAGTCTGTTCAAGTAGTTGATCAGTAAAAACAGATTAGTGCAACGGACGCAGAAACTTGATCGCGCCCATGCCCCACGAGGGGAATCGGGATTTCGCAACAACAAAATACTTACATTTGCGTATTTAAAGTTTACTTCCAAAAAGTTTTTACATTATAGATTATAAATAGAATTACTGATTATTTACTAGTCCTAGACTCAACCAATATACCAATTACTAGTGCCAGGCCAGTACCTATACAGCTTGCTTAAAATAAATATATCATTTTATTTCGCAGGTGTAGAGCGTCCCTTTACAACTGTGACACTCCACCGCCACTCGGAAGCCGGCAGACGATTCCCCTGGCGCGACCTCGCCTGGTTCCTGTGTTCTCCCTGCTCTGTATTCACGGTTAGGGCTTTGCCCCCATTAGAGCGCAGCGGCGACACGGATCAAATGTTCGCTGAGCGGATACGACAAGCCCTAGCAGAAAATTTGCAGGTATCTGTTTTTCTTACATAATTAATACATTTGATTAGGGTATACAAATAAAAATTAATTGATTTTGAATGTAATGGTTCTTTATGTCCTTTCAAATAAAACACTTTAACAGTTTCAAACGCGAAATCTATTTGTTTACAAATTATTTTCAACTCGGCCCAATGTAACTTTGGAGCGGCTGTGGTGACGGGGAGGGTCGGGCTCCCTAGCCAGTCTAAATGTGTAATACTCGCGTAGACAACAGTCTTTTATGCTCTTCTTTTTTGTGGATTATTACAGGCACGAGATTATATACGCACATTTGTAACGTAAATAATCTAAAATGATAATCAATTAGGTGGAAGCAACTGAAGTGAACTGGGAGGACCTGCGACGCGCGGTGTTGCCCAGGGCACCTGTACCGCGCACTGGCCCCTCGTCGGCCGTGTCGAACGAGCGGAGCCGACTGGCGAGACAAGTCAAGGAGGTACTACCAAATGTGCCGCTACAGGATATTATGAAAGATTTGGGTATGTTTGTTAACATCAAACTTAAGTGGTGGTAGCTAAAATTACCAACCTTAAAGAGATAATATTATAGGAGATGGGCTATTTGACTGATTTTTTAAAGATATTTTATATTATCTGGTAGATTTTACGAAACTCCAGAAAAGTAGCATTTTTGAATTCTATCTAAAACGAAGTTTATTATTGTTTGCTGTAGTTTATTGTTGTATATCATCTTAAAAATCCAACATTTAATTTGTGTGCCTAAACGCTAATTTTGCGAAACATCACGTGACGACGTGACCGGTGTCGTCACGTCCGGACCTTATAATGGCCGTTAGTGTATGCTAGTCTACATGCATTTGTACCAAACATTTAAATTTCAACAGTGATTGAAGTAATAAAATTAATTACAAATTTATTGATTTATTAATGCACAGAATAGAAAAATTTTAACACTAGCAAGCACTATTTAAAAGCACGTTGTTATAAACCCGACCCGATTATTTTTATTTATCGTTTTTTATTTAACTTAATTATTATTTTTACAAATGTGACTGTTTTACTACTAAGTACTACTACTACTTTTTTGCATTGTCAAATAGCTTATTAGATGGGAGACCTATAATACAAATAAATATCTTTGCTTTTTCTCTTTAAACAAATTTATTGATATTACAGCGAAAACCCGCAGTGTCGATGTGACGATAACGAACTTCTTGGAGGGGCTCACACCCTACACCCCAGAATATCCGGCCGCGAGTGAACCCCAGCCATCCACTTCCGCCCCCCAGCCGAAGTACATAACCCCTCCACCGACGGGAGTCTTCCCGAAAACTGCCAGGGAACGACAGATGAGCTTCCAAGAGCGAAAGGCGCAAATGATTGCGGAAGCGAGACAGAGATATATAGAGAAGCATGCCATCTCGCTCGGTTGCTAAGCGAGTCCGAAACCTTAAATATTTTTTCTACAGGCTGTTCCTTTTAGACGCCCTGAAGCATTTTTTACCTTGTACGTATTGAGATATCCCGTGTAATTGACGCTCATTTTGTAATGTAATATGAGAAATAGATGCGATGAGCTTTAAGTTTAACGCCTTGCTAACCTAACTGACCTTGTCTCTTTCTAACATATTTAACAACATAAAATATAGATGCAGTAAATATACCGAGTAAAGGCGACAAAAGGCGATTGCAAATTATCTAAAAGAGAATATAATTGAATTTAATTAGTTTAAAAAAGAGATTGATATGTCTCCAGTTGTACATAGCGTTACTAATAAACGTGACGTGAGGAAGAACTATACTTTGTCCCTTTCACGTAAATTTGACGTTTGGATAAAATCCACTTACGTTTATTGGTAAAGCTGTATTTTAAAATAAGATGGACTAAAGTCTTGAATTCGTAGACTTAAATATATTTTATTATACATAGGTCATAGACTATATGATATAAGACAAATGCCGCTACAGAAACGCTTTTGTCACACCCTGTAGCTACATTTGTTCAAACCAATCACGCGTTCGCTGCGTCGATCTCCTTTTATTATCATAGTTGTTTTTATTATATTCAATTATCTTACCTATTTGTTTCAATTTCGTAGGTATATACAGGCTGTTCGGTACTATTCAATCGAGAGGCTAAATTCAACATGTAAATGATTCCAAATATTTCTTGGCTGTATAAAAATCTGGTTCCTACGATTAAAGCAGTCTGTATATATCAAGTAGTGTTAAGAAGTTAGTTTTTAGATATTCTTTCTGTAGGTTCTTAGCGCATCCAATTCAAACGGAGATTCTTCAACTGAAATTTAACAATGACTCGTCAACGATACTATTTTAAGATTAAAATTTTAATTAGGTGCGCACGCGTTGAAAACTGCAAATAGAATAGTCACTACCATGGGCTTTACCTAGAAGGGGGCAAGTAATTTTTTTAAATGTACAATGAGAAAACAAAGTACTTTTGTCTTTAAAAGCAGTACTATAAAGCATTGTCAGAAAAATGACAGTTTTTAACTAATAAATTCTGCTTGCCGGACTTCTAGAGAGAGACAGAAGATAGTAGCCCCTGGCAACGCCCATGGTCGTTACTTTAAAAAATTTCATCGAATACGTATGAGTAATTTACTACACAAATTTCAATGGCCTACGAAATACAGCTTAAAACAATATGGGTTCTTAATTGTTTAAAAGATTCAAACAATGATTATGGAAATCGTAATGTAAACACTTATCTAATCTTGTGATAATCGGACATGTCGAGTTGCTTCCACACACGATAATTTGGTTTTGTAATTATTTTGTCGTTAAAGATAAATAAAAAGTTTTGTTTCGACAGTGCGTTTTTATTGCCTAGCAAGAATATAATACTACTTATGTGTTAATTTGTTTATAAATTTTAACGTCTCGGTCCAATTATTGAATGTAGATATGCTTTGAATTTTCACAACTTGCAATGTGATTTAAAATAATATTGTATTCTTACATGTTACATTTGTTCTAGGAAATCTAGATGTATGATGTAAATATCAAAATTCCACCCAGTCCACGAACCCGTAGATAAAAAAGCGTGAGGCTTCGGTTTCAGTTTGACTTATTCTTAAAATGATATCTTATATAAAATTCAACATATTAAATTAATACGAATAAAATTAATATTTTGACATGATGTTGCAACTCAATACTGACTGTAGTTAACGCGAGTAGTACACATTTGACGGTTTTAAACGCGAATTTCACTAACTAACGAGCCCGCACGATAAAACTTGTTTCATCGCGGGGGCTCGTTTACCCGTCGAAGCCGAAATAGTCCTAGTTAAAAATAATTTGTAAACAAGTGTAACTAATATAACTCGCGTTTTAAACCGTTTTTTTATTATTATCTTTTTACATGTCATCAAAGTTGTCCGCCCATTCACAGTGTCGACATGTTATACGCTAACTAGATAGTTAACTATCTACCGCTGTTTCATACATTAATTGTTCTTCTTTGAACGGATTAGTTTCAATTTTATAGACCAAGCCGGTGCGGCGTCCTCTTCGGCGTGGCTAATCCAGGCGTAGCAACTTCCTGCTTAATGGGAACATCTTGATCTTTTTTCTTCTTCTCTTCTGCCATCTTCTGTTCAGCTTCTTTCATCTCTTCTTCCATCCGTTGCAAGTGAACGGCTGCTTCTTTGCGTTTATCGCGGTTCGTTCTGTAAGTAAACGAGTTTGTCGAGTATACGAAAGACTTATAACTGTTAAAATTAAAATCTCTCTCTGGGTTTTAACCTCGGAAGAACACAATAAATACTACCGACATCACAGTAGTCCATTGAACTATTAACCAATGAAAGTTCGATTCGTGTGTTTCAGGCATCGATTTGATTTATACACAGCAATGGCCCACATTATGCTCTAACCAAATTCTATATTTTACTGAAATAAACTCACTTCCCAGTCTCCTTGACCGAAAAGAACATAGGTCCTAGTTCCGCCAGCCACCTGCCGTCTACAGCCGTCACGCAGTGCATATACTCCTTGCTCGTCATCATCAGCTCGTGGTACACCACGTAGTCCGGCGAGTTGCCGAGGCCGAAGAGGGCTGAGGTTGGATGGAGGTGGCACGGCATCCCCGTACGAGAATTCACGTATTCGCCTATGCCCTTCAAGCGGGCCGCTTGTTGGAAATATGCTGCGAAATAAAATGAAGATAAGTCGATAACTTATATATCAATTCATTAAAAGAAACAGATCTTGGGATTTGATAACTTTAACATTTGCACATGACGGCGCTCTATAGCTTAACAATTGGTTATAGATTGATTGATACGGTAGCTTAATTGGTTAGAGCAACACTACCGACGGTGGATGCCGGTTCAAGTCCTGCCCGAGTCGTAACTTCTTTTTCCAATCTATAATCATTTTTTAAGATCCTGGAATCTGCGGTGGTGAAAAAGCGTCGCTGAGGGCACAGAAATTGTAAGTGCCCAGATCTGAATCAGAGCCCATGATATCGTGATGGCAGTAACTGGAGAGGAATAAAGCCTCCGAGAACCTAATTGCTAACGATGCCAAAAATAAGGATTTTGTTTTTGTTCTTTTTTCTATTTTTTTTATTTGATTTAGACATGATTTATGAATTATCTGTATATTTATGGTTGTTATAAGTAAGAGAAGAAATGGTAAAGTATATAATCGCTAATGCTGCGTTTGCAAAAAAATCCATCATACTAAATCAGTTTTCTGCCCTTTTTTGATGGGTTGTTCAGGCTATTAGTATCTATTAATTTAAGTATTCTGTTACAAAAATCTATAGGAAAATTTACCTGAACAAATACACTTTCTAACTGTATCCCAGTCAGTACCGCAAGAGACGAGAGGTAGTCGCTGCTGCTGCAAAATATCCTTCAACTGTTGTCGCACTTCGCGCACCTTGCGCATCGCCTTCGCGTGCACAAAGTGTTCAGTGCACCAGGAACTTGAATAGCTGGAAGAAAACATTTGAGGAATAAAACAAAAGTAACTTGTTTTATTATGATTCCTATTGAGTGAAAAATATATAGTCAAGTTCAGGTAAAAAATAATTATTAATTATTAATAATGTTATTCATAGGTCAGCCTATTGTTATTTTCATTTCCTATCTTAAATTTAAAACATTCACTAAGACTCAAGATTTAATCTTTTGTTTTCTATCTATCTTGTCTACATATAACAAAAAATTGGTCAACTTTAGAAAAAAAGTTTTAAAAAACTTACTTATTACTCTTCCATTGGTTGTATAAATGTAAGAGTGTGAGATGATCCGACTCTGGCACTTGGAACTTCTCTTTAACAGAATCGGCTTCCTCTTCACGCCCTTGTGGGCGGTAAAACACCGTCGGCACAGACAGCATCGATACTAAAACACACAGTAAATATAATAGCCTGGTCCTTCGAGTCGGAAAAACTTTTAAGTCGTACTGAAGGTAAAACTTTAAGTAAAGTAGGAAGAAGCAAATTAATTATGTGTCTTCTATTTTTTGGATACACGGATTTGTGTCTGTTTATTATAGGAAACTTTCATTATTTGCGGTACCCTATTATAATTATATATAGGCTCTGGTATGGCATACATTTTTATTTAAATAGCTTCATTGTTTACTAGGTTTAAAATCGATAATGAATTAAAAAACCTCACCTATAATCAGTACTTCTGAACTACACCCCATCTGTGCAGAGACTATAAGCATGTGGCACTGAGGTGGATCAAGAGGGAATTCAGCCATTTGCCTCCCGAGTGGTGTCAACGCCCCAGTACCATCTAGCGCGCCCAAAATCCACAACTGGTACATAGAATTTAGGATCGTATCCTAAAAAAAGTTTACTTTGCTTTTTATTGCTAGTAATTAATAGTAATTTTGTTAGATTTAGGAGTAAAGAGTATGCCATAATATTAAAGCAGTGTTGTCAATAAAACAAGGCTAATTTCGCTCTATTTTAAATTTAAATAAAACACTAACGGTTTAAACTAATAGCAATCGGCTGCTGCAAAACATCTGAAACGTCGCGCCGTAGATAAAATAATTTTGAAAGTAAAAAAAAATTGTTTAAATATTATATTACACAGCGCTTTTCAAATAAGTTTAAGTAATATATTTCGCGTTTTAAATCGTTAAATTATTATAGGCTGATTTTCCATCTCAACTTATCTCATTCAACACTTCTTTTGATACAATTGAGTTTTAAGCAGTACATTTCAAATTAAAAGTACATTCTGAATTAAAAAAAATATACGAGTCGGGCAGGACTTGAACCAACATCCACAGAGACATCCTATCAACGGGAGTACGGAACGCTGTGGAGTCGTCTTTTTTTAACTTAATCGATTTTTAATTTATACAATGTATGTCATTGTATAAATGTGCAATAACATGTAAAACATATTAGGGTAAATTTCACCTGAGGCGGCGGATCCATAAAGTGGAACGCCAGAAGATCTTCAACGCCAAGCGATTTCAACAACAGCACGGTGTTAGCCAGGTTAGTTCTCTGTATTTCGGGTACAGTGGCGGGCAGAAGCTCGTGTTGGAACTGCCTCTGTGTATAGAGGCAGAAGGCTTTGCCGGGCCCCGTTCTACCCGCACGACCCGCCCTCTGGCGAGCGTTTGCCTGACTCACTGGGTATATCTGCAAACATAAAAAATATATATTATGTCGAAATGTCAGACAGGGCACTGGATATGTAATAAGCCCTCTTAATATACGCAAACAAAATCTGTAGACTCTATGTCTTTGCTTTGGATGTTAAAAAAAAAACTTTACAAATGTAAAAATCTCAATAATAATTACGATGCTAATTGGATTCTATAATTCTATAAACATCCTCAAATAATTAAAATAAGTTTGTTACTTATTTACTAAAACATCTTGCGGTACTGGCTTCGTTTGTAATGTTTAATTTAGTTTCATATTTGTGACTCACCTGCAATGCATCCATACCGATTCGTGGATTGTATACCTTCAGCTTGCAGTAGCCACAGTCGATAACGTACATTATACCATCCACGGTAAGAGATGTCTCTAGGGAAAATAAATTTAGGAAATAAAGTATTGTAAGTAAGTTGAAATTAGAAAAAAACATTTAAGTATTTTTTTTTCAACAAGCATGGGGGTTCACTACATAAAAGGTGAAATACCCACGCCATATAAAATCTAAACGTTCAGAAATCCACAGAATGTATTCGCGATTACACATAATAATAAATATAAACGAAGATGAACGACCCAACGGTTCATTCTATTCAAATGGGCAATTTGTATAACAAGTCAACAAATTTGTTTTGTAGGAAAATTTTGATCTTAGTCACGTGGCATTGAATTGAGGTGTAGGTTTTAAGTAAGCGAAGAGTTCTAGTTCAAAAAACCTAAGAAGACTGGCTCGTTGGGTCAAATGTATTGTAATGCTAATCAACATCGGGATTTGGATACAATCCCATGTATGTTCAACGTGTCCTTAGATCTTTTAGCTTCTCTAAACATTTTGGACCTTATCTAGAAAATCTAGATATTAAATGGTTGTGCGTACGTGAAAAACTACCCTCCATAGATGAAAAAGCCGTCCAAGTTTAATCATGTTACGTTTTCAACCTGAAATTTCGAATAGCCAAAATAAGTCGACAGCTGATATTGTTTAGATGTTAAAGGATGAGAATAATTCATGTGTCATCAAGTGGAACCCTATACTTCCCTCTATCATTAAAACAACTTACCGGCAATATTGGTAGCGACGATACATTTCCGTTGACCCGGCGGTGCGCGTTGAAAGATCTTCGCCTGCAAATCTGCGGGTAGTTGCGAATATATCGGTAGTACAGTGAGCGGAGGGGCTGCGTCTAGATCGCCTAGCCTTTCTGTTAATACCTGAAACGTAGAAATACATATATGTACATAAAACTCAAAACAAATATTATCAGAACTCCGTAGTCTTGTTTTAGGAAGTGTTTATGTAACTTTTCAGTAAACTAGAGGAATATAAATTGCAAAGGCTTTCGCGGGCATTTTGCAAAGTTACTTGGTTTTTTTTTACATTTCTTAATAACGACGCCCAACATTTTGTGATCATTGAGTGATTAAGCGAAGACCAGCCTTCGCAGCAGGAACAGTTCGAAACTTGCACGGATTTAGTTTGTTTATCTTCAAATTGACATCTAGTCAACCTAACTAGTACCTCTACTTTTAAATTAGATCCTAAAATTAGAGCTTTCAACAAAAAGTATCCTCTTACCTCACATGTGACCTCAATATCCTCCTGACCAGGCATGAATATCAGTATGTCACCTTCATCAGGCTGAAGATGTATTTGAAGAGCCTGTAAAAGATTAAATCATTTTTCTGCAGCTGTATACACTCGTAGCTGGATATAGAGCAATATTAAGCTTCAAATCCCTACGACCATGTTTAAAATATAAAATTTGGACAAAAATAGTAATTGTTTAAACCGCGTTCAAATGTAACATTTAATTTGAATCCAAGCGAAATCTCTTCAAAAGGTCACGATCACTGTTATATTACACAATAACCATCTATTATTGTTTCCTCTGTCGAGAGCAGTGACGTCAGAATACGAAGAAATGAGGATACCGTGTCATTGGAGTCACCTTGAACTTTCGTGAAAGGGGGAGGTTTGTTAAATGTATGCCGTCAAAATAAATCACAAAAACTTGAATAAGAGCACTGTTTGAAAATAGCTATAAAATATATCTTTATATAATGATTGTGATTACACGAGTAGTACACATTTAAATAAGACAATTTGAACGGTTTGAAATGTCAGGTCCCACTTGAGAAATGGTTAAGTACAGTGTTTAAGCTGTTAAAGTGTTCTCTATTCTAAATACTTTTTATTTTGTCTTGTATTGTGTTTATTAAATGTCTTTGTATTGTTTATGAATAGACGTATTTCTATTTTTAAATACAACCATGTAATTCAGAATCTCTTAAATTTAATTTAGAAAGTAATGAGAAAAATATAATTCAAACTAATTCAAAGCTGTCACCCTTCGTTCTGGTTTTAATCCCAGGTAAACAATAAGCAGTCGGGCAGGGGCTGTAAATAATCGATCTGAACAACAGACTCAAGCTTCATATATCACCCTTAACGATTTCACCTTAATACACAGCTTCAGCCCCACCCATTGCATCTAAGTAATGAAATAAACGTAAACAGTTATCGAAGACGCGTCAATTACGTTAAATGCGTTTTGTTATTCTGTTCGTACGTGCTCAGAGCGTATTAAGCTATTAGCTGATTGGACACGCCCACGCTTATTAGGCGATTGTGTTATTGTACCGTAAAATAGTGTAAGATAACAGCTTATATGTGGGGCATATTATTGCCACAACTAAACATTAATGGCTTATTTTGGAAAGTTTAAGATTACAACATTTTCGTTATATGTATGTTCTCTTTATTGCACTAAAAAATAATATATAAAAAAAAATAGTAATCCCAGTTCATCATGGGATATAATGGGACATTACGATAAAAGAAACATTTGTAAAATATAGTTAAGTATATTGCAATTAAATTATCACATTGCAAATAAAAAGTGTGAGAGTGTGTGTATACATTTGGTACTTTGTTACAGTACTGACAGCAAGCCGAAATATATTTAAATGCTTCAATTGATGACTTTATTAAGCGCAGCCATATAGCAGCTTCTAAAAATAGATCAAGGAATGAGATTTATTGATTTATTTTATTTATTTATTTATTTACACTTTATTGCACAAAAAAAATGAACAAAAATAGAAACGAGACTTATATATACTAAAATATGGAGTGCAATGGGTGGCCTTATCGCTAACGAGCGATCTCTTCCAGGCAACCCAAATTTAAATGTCCCTTAATGGAAAGTAAGTATTTCAACGCGTTAAATAACACACGGCTAACGTTTTAAAACGTACAATATAACTTCTTTTGAGAACCACCTGACTTTCTGGACGCTCTACAGCAGCGTGGTCAGTAATAGACAAAGTTACAAATAAAATAATACCCACGTTTTAAACCGCAACAAATACACACATACTCCTTTAGACGTAATTAACAGACGAACACAAAAAATACGGGTAAAGCGATCACGCCTCACAGTTCATTGACATCAGACGTGCAATGCATGCATGCGATAATATCATACCAATATCGCACCTATTCCAATTGCACTAGGAACGATAATTCCGTCAATTTTATGAATTTAATTGCATCTATTTATAAACAGAATGGAAGTCAAGCAAAACCGGTTGCAGATAAGGATTTTATAAAATACTGTTAAGCGATTTTATAGTACTAGATCTCGTAATTGCGTTTTGTTTTTATGATAGAGGACAGACCAACTTCACTTGATGTTAGGTGAAATATTCCAAACATATAACATATACACTAGATGCGTGTCGACCAATTTTGGCTTTGGAAATCTACATTTCATCTGTGAATGGTGGTTCGTGACGCGGACGGTATATACCACCCATTCGATATCCAGATTCTCTAAGTCTAACATGTTTAAAAAAGGTTGGACCCGGTGGGGATCTACACCACGACCCGTTAGATACTAGCCCGGACATTTCGTAACATAGCGCTTTTGGAACTTGGGTTTGTAGCTGCCTACATAAAGACAAACGAGTAATTTGTTATTCCGTCTAGTCTTAAGTGTGCTTATGCATTTGTATAGATAGGTACGGTATTTATAACGGAGCCGATAAGACTTCTATACATTCTCAGCGATCTCAATGCGTGTGCGCCGTACACTTGATAAGGCTAGACAAAGGTACCGTTCCGCTTCCGTTTATGAGTAATTCGAGGGATTTACTAAAGTAACAAAAACTATGACTGTGTCTTCAAGTTAGGATACTTATAGTCTTAGTAAATAATGCCCAACTGAAGAACAGTCTGACACTTAAAACTCTACCAAAGCATCGCTAAATAAGTATACCTATTTCGCGTTATCTAACCGCTAATAGTTATATTTAAATATATATTATTTATATAAAACACTTTAACGGTTTAAAACGCGATATATTTTAGTTAAACTTGTTTGTAAAATTATTTTTAACTACGGCCGACGCAGCGGCGTAACTATACCGTTCGAGGCCCGTGGCTCCACTCCCCCAATATATAAAGAAGCTGAACCAACAATTGAGATTTCCTCTGACCGGGGGCCCCTTCGGGCTGGGGGCCCGTGGCATTTTGCCGACTTGCCACCCTATAGTTTCGCCACTGGCCCGACGTTTCACGGGTGGCTTTAAACCGTTAACGTGTTTTATTTAAATGTGTACTACTCGCGGAAACTACAGACAGTATGTGTAATTTATATTTAAGGTACATTGCTCAATTGTTCAATTTTACGGTTATAAAGAAACACCTACACGAAAGAAAATAAAAACTTCAGTATAATGCCAATGTGTTCATCTCTAACCCGGATAACGGATTCTTGTGTGTAACACGATCATCCGATGAACGAATGTTAGTCGAGCGAATTTTAGTCTCTTTAGAGAATCCATAAAATTCAGGGCAGTTCAAGACGCTCTAAGAAGGACAACACTACATCCCTTTAAGCTTTTAATAATAAAAATATACCTGCTTCACAGCTCCATCCACGTAATCTTCACAGACGTTTTTAGCGAAGAAAGTCTCAACTGGAAACGTTCGTCCAGGTATCGTGAACGTCGGGACGTTGCCGAAAAACGTAGCAAACTTGCTGGAATCCATTGTGGCTGAGGTTACGATCAGTTTCAGGTCCGAACGACGGGCTACCACCTGGAAAACAAAAAGGATTAATCATTGTCTGTACCTAGCTAGCACACATTCAAATAACACTTAACGGTTTAAAACGCGAAATATAAATACTGTCTATACCTTACGCGAGTAGAATACATTCAAATAAAACACTTTAACGGTTTAAAACGCGTGTTCACTGGGAGCCGTGTCCTCGCATTACCACAGCTGCTGCAAAGCTTTCGAAGCGTAGGACAGTACTTAAAATAATCTCAAAATAAGTTTAACTAATATAAATCGCGATTTTAAACCTTTAAAGTATCTTATTTAAACGCGAAATATATGAATTAAACAAAGGATTAGTGTTCGATGGAATGTATTTCAAAGTTATTTATGAATTCACAGTAAAGTAAAATTTTAGTTTTTTTTTACTAACTAATTATTACTATGATTTATAATTCGGAAGGACAGACAAACATGGGGTTCTCTTGATAGAAGGCGAAGTATCCCAGCCAAATAACAATAAACAAAAATGCAATGTATATAAATTATATTAAAAACAATAGTCATAATAAGCAAATACACTAACGGTTATAATTCTTGCGCAACACGAAGACGTATAAATAATTCATACATAAATAACACTTAATCGTAGATCAATTAAGTTTTTAGTTCATTGACTTGCGCTATTTCGACGTTACGACTTTTCCAGAAAATAATTTTATCACGAACATACCGCGAAACCACACAATGACTATCGATTTTTTTTCATTGTCAATGCTCCATTGAAATTTTAGTCATAGGAAAATATTAAAAAAAAATTGCAACTTATTATTTCATATAGGTAATAATAAATGGTAATAATCATTAATAACAGTAGTTATTATTAATAGTAAGTCGTAGTTTAAGTATGATATTTTGTAAGATTAATTTATTAATATATTAAGACTTTTGTTGTTTAATTTACTCCTTACTGTTTTTTTTTTCTTAATTTTGTGTATGTACATATATATTGTATATATATATATATATATATGTACATACACATGTCATAAGCTATTATCAATATTTGAAAATCCTGTATATTTAGTTTATGTATTTTAAACTATGTTCTTTCTGTGCTTTTACCATAGTATTTCTTTCTATTTGTGTAATCCTGTTTTGGCTAATGTTTAGTTTTAAGTATGTTTAACACATGTAAACTATGTAGCTGCAATACCCAATAAACAATCAATAAAAAAATAAGATTTCATTTTGTATGTTTGTCACATTGAAATGTGTATGGAGTTTTTGCCAGTTTTCTGTCATTCAAGTAAACGTCATTTTTACACAAAGAGAAGAAAGGAAGCCTTGTGATATCTTCTAAGAAATATTACTACGTTAAAAACTTTACGAAAGTACAAAAGAAGAATTTCGTAGAATATTTTTCGCAGTTCCTGTAGTATACATTTCCTTAAGATTGAGCTTAGGAGATATCTTTAGTTCTGTATATTTTTTTTATGCCACGAGTGGTATGCGAACCTGAGACTTATAGTACGGCATTCTAGTTACAAAAAATTGGTTTGCGCTATGGTGAAGGCATATTTTAAATTTCAATAATAAAATTCTTAAATGAAACAATTCTACTGTAAATACCTTTCAAACCGATAAGTGTTTAATTCAAATGTAACAGCAAATAATTCTTTTGAATATAATTTATCGTGCAATAAGATACAAAAGCCTGAAACTTGCTTTTTGCTATGTTAACGTTTATAATTAGGTATTTACGGAAATATATGCAAATAAAAACGTGTATAAAAAGAAGTCCTTTGTGTTTCGAATATCCTTTTGTTGGCTTCAATCGAATCCGATAAAAACTTTTCAGTTTTTCGTCGTACCAATTTAATGCCTTTTAAATAATGTGCAATTTTAAAATAAGTATTGTCTTGTCTTGTAACCATTCAAAACATAAAAAAGGCGTGAAAGTCCGTTTCCCCCTCGTGGGGAATGGGGCGAACACATTTCTGTGTCCGTTTCACTGATCCGTTCTTTTAACGGGCAAGTAGTTGATCAGACTTCTGTGCCCTGCCGGAACGAAACATTTTTGTTTGTTTTCCTGGGATTCGAACCCAGGCCCTCCCCACCATATGGCTACAGAGGCGTTAAAACATAAAAATATCAGTTATTTTATTTCAAATTAAGATATGGCGTTGCAAATGCATTGCAGCAGCCGAGAACAAATTCTAACAATTCGGTACTTGCAAGGTAGCCTTAAAAGATAGACTTAAAGAAGATATATTTATTTCATACATATTTTTTTGGTTTTCGCTACGAAAACCCTCAAAGACGAATCAATTTCCATGTTTTTCCACATTTCCCTTTGTTACTTCGCTCCTACTGTGTGTGTATGAGTGTGATGTTTTATAGTTAAAGCCTTCTTCAATAAATGGTCCAACCCAGACAAAAATATTTTTCAATGAGAACTCGTGGCTTCCTAAATTAGCGCGTTCAAATAAACTCTTCAGCTTTACATTATTAGTATAGATAGTAATAACTTATGTCCCCACTCCCAGCGCATTTGTATCCAATAGTGCTTCGATTTTGTCTAAGTACACAGTCATTATAAACAACAGTATTTAACTTTCACAGCGAACGGTTGCCAGACATATAGCGGTTTGTGATTGCTTTAGAAAACATCATGATTAGCCACCATTAGGATGTTATAACATCTACTATATGAATGAGTAGACACAATCTGTTTAGTATTTCTTAAGTTTTTTAATACTTTACAATTCACTTTGTCTCTTGTTTCATAGAATACTGACAATGTCTCTTAAATGTTTTTTAATTTCATGTCAAAGAACGATTAAAATTAATCGTGTGTGGATGTTTGTTACGATTTCTCATCCAAACACGTTAACCAAATATAGACAATAATGGACTTTTATTTATTTTCCCGAAAAATGGTTCTTTAAATATAATTGATTAGCTGAGTCGATTTGCTGATTAAACCATTGTCCCCCCCCATGACCATGGAAGCTGCAAAACAGCCGAAATGTCGGGCCGTATTTAAAATACATAAAAAATAAGTAAATACATCTCACACTGCGATCCGTTAAGTGTTTTTTATATCAATTAAAGCATTTTTGTAGTTTACATGATAGGTACATACAATAAACAAAACAATATAACTGATTAAAATACAAACCATATAAGTTAATGAATTTATAAAAAGGACTTGACGTTTCGGGTGCTTTTTCAGCACTCAGCAGTGGTGGTAATGGTTTTAAAGCGTAGGTTGTTCAATGTGCCCATTATGGGCAACACCGCGCCTAGTGAAAAATTAGTATAAACGCATTTTATGGCAATACTGGTTTCATTTGGCGATCGACATTGGCTTATCGCAAGTCACATGTGCGCCACTCTAACCGTAATTCAAACTCGATCAGTCAGAAAATTGGGTTGCATTTACTACGGTACATCAATTTTATCGTATCGGCTCCAGCCAATTTTCTGATACAGTATTGAGTGCGTTGAACTAGGTTTCAAACAAATCGTTAACGAATCGCATTGATAATATGCGTATAAAACACTATTTTTAAATTAATACAGCCATACAAAAATCTAAGGAAATAAAACGCGAAGACACCGTTAGTCAATTCTGCAAGGACCCGGCCAGTTTCGCCAAATACCAACATCGAAGAAACAGATGGCGCTAGCGTAGCAATTTTGTACTTTGACGTCAGAGACATCCTCCATCTTTATTCTACCCGTGACCACGGCTGCTGCAAAGCATCCGAAACGTCGGGCCGAAGTTAAAAATCATTTCCAAATAAGTTTAACTAATATATCGCGTTTTAAACCGTTAAAGTGTTTTATTTAAATGTGTACTACTCGCGTAAACTATAGACAGTGTTTAATTAACTTTAAATAGGTAAAGAAAACACAAAATTGTGTTAACGGCTCCTTAACACACAAAATAGATTATTACTAATATAAACTAATATTATAAAGCTCTTTAGTTTTTTTTTTGTTTGTTAGTTCGAACGTGCTGATCTCAGAAACTACTGGTTCCAATTGAAACATTATTTTTGTTTTGGATAGACCATTTATCGAGATATGCTTTATGGTATGATTAAGAAGTTCGACAGAACGGTTCAAGGTTTAACAATTCAACACGAAAGAAAAATAGCCATAAATTGTTCTCCTTTAAACGATCCCAAAAAAATTTAATTTAATGTGTAAATTAGCGCGGAACGCGGACGACGTCGTCTGTCACATTTAGTTATACTTAAAGTAAAAAACACTGAGCATAAATCAAACCAAGAGAGCGAGGGGAGATATGGAATTACTGTGTTGTTTATTTTGTTAATACACTATAAGACCAATGAATCTGTTGAATCGATTGCAAACTAATATATCGCAATTTGCTATCGCATTCAGGTCAATAACGAGCTCCATTGCTTGCACCTGTTTGTATACAAACTATGCTATTAACATGATTAAATGGTCATTGAGTAAACTATCTGTATTATTAGACCATGATATTGCTTTTTTTCTTTTTAATTAAGATGTTATAATAAATATCGTAGTATCGATATAGAAATTTCAAACAACTTAGACCTTAATAATCGTTACGGCATGGAAGTTCTTTTGGCCATCTTATATATTTTTTTAAAGCAATCTCGTCCGCTTACCGTCGTTCTTACGAGTTAATCTTATAAAAGATTATACATATACTGTCGCGGAAGTTTTTAGATCGTTTTACTGAATCGCTTTCGCAGCGCACGGATAGAATTTATTTTTTCTAATATTCCCCGATTTGTCCACATTTCTATCAATCTCTTTTTATTAGCCACAGTCCGTTGTATTACAGCCTTCGTCGATAAATGCTGAACTCAAAAATAATTTGGCCAAATAAATTGAGTATTAAGTGAGGCAACAAAAAAATTGATTAATTGAATTTTTATAAAGCTAACAATATAACAGAATTAAATTCGGCTGTCCGATACATCGTGTACGCGTCGCGTCTGTAGGTAACAGAGTTGACTTAAAAACAGTGA